AGAGAAGTGTTTTCACAGTGGAGGTTGGCAACCCATCCGTAATTCTATTTTAGTAGAAGAGAGTCAAATAGAAAATATGATGTTTCACTTGAGGAAAAGTTAGGCATCGTTTTTGAAAATGTTGTTTTAGTTAGAAATGTGTAGACGTACGTGTGTACTGGGTTGTGAAAGAAATGTCTTTTTACTGTAGGTCAGAGAAATTGGAAGGCCACAGAGTTAGGCTTCCTCTTGCCGCAGAACTGTCTAGCCGGGCCCACTTTCATACATCCTGTCGTCATGCCTTAGCTGTCACTGTCTCTGGGCAGTGGTCCCTGGTTGTCCCTTCACCTTTGGCCCACGAGCCCGGCTGAGGGCCTGTGGTGACCTCCTGCCTCTCTCCCTATCTGACTCGCCCACTCTTTCTGAAGCTCCAAGGTGTAGCAAGCTCACTGGTCCCATCCACCGAGGCCTCACACAAGCCTGGCAGCAGCACGGTAGGTCGCAGTGTTGTGGGGAGAAGGGCACAGGGGGAACAAGGGGGCCTCGGTGTGTTTCCTCTGTGCATCTTCAGCAGCACTTAGGACAGAGAAGGCCCTTCACAAAGATTTTCCAAATGGATTAACCTATTGTACTGGTGTGGAATACCTTTCTCCAGGTTTAAACGTTTTCTTCTGGTTCAGATCCAGACCCTGACAGATCAAGTCCCCTTCTCTTTGAGCTTGCTTTCTCATCTGTAAAATAATAGCAGATAAGAGAAAGCATAAAATAAGAGGGTGATATCTAACGGCATAGCTGTCATAGGGATTAGAAAGAATCTGTACAGAGTACCTGGCACATGAGTAGGTATTGAATTAACAGCAGTGGTCTATTGTTATTGCCTCTTTTCCTGCCTGAAATGATACCCTGGCCACCGTCACCATGCGGTGTCTCCCAGGCCTCCCACTTTCGCGCACCTGCTCTAACCTTCCAGACCCAGCCCAGCCCAGCTCCGTGGAAAAGGAAAAAAAACAAAATGGGGATTTGAGAGTCAATCCCAGTGCTGTCACTTACTGGCTGTGTGAACTGGGCCATTTACCTGCTCTCTGAACTGAGCAATAACTGGGGTTCTTGCGGGTTTGTGTGAACAGTGGGGAGCACGGTGCTCAGTGCACGCGTGCTTCCTCGCTTCTCGTGTCCCGGGTCCACTCTCCTCCCCCGTTCAGGGTGGGGAACCTCTTTTCGGCTAGGGGTCATTTGGATACGTATGACGTCATTTGCAGGCCATACACAATTATCCACTTAAAAATGAGCCTGCTGTATGTGGTCAGGCTAATGTGTGAGGTGTGTGATGTTAGCTGGTATTGATTCCGAGGGTCTTATACAGCCCACAGGCCAGACGTACCCAACTCCTGCACATAGATTGACCAAAAAGGACCCCATCACCATGCAGAGAAGCCTCTACAACTGCAGTTCATGTGGCTCTCACCCTTGTCCCTGTGGCTGAAATCCACAGAGAGGGCCAGCCGTCCCTGAGGTGCTGGCCCAGCGCCCAGCACAAGGCTGGTCTGTAGCAGGTTGTGGAAATGAACTCTGAAGCCATACCTCGAGGGCAGGCCAGGGTCTTGCACTTCACAGGTGTGGTCTGTGCCAGCACCTGCCCTGGGGCCACACTCCCTTCATCTTGACCCGCAGTCAAGCGCTCCAGGCTTAGCCCAAGGCCTGCAGCCACTGAGCTGCTCACATGTCCTTCGTGTGTGTTGCTACTTAGCTTCCAGAACATACTCAGCTGCTTGATTTACTCTATGTTTAAAGCAGTTATACGATTTGTTGGTTAGAAATAACAACCAAGCAATGAAGAGGACGATGATGGCATTGATTGTAATAGTTCTCCATTCATGTATGCCTGTAGGTATAAGGTACAGCACAGTTTACAAAGTATCCGACAAACCCAGCATCCTGGGGTGAGGGACTGGCCCAGAGCCATACAGCCAGAAAGTGGCTGGAGCCAGGCCAACACCTAACCTGGAGTTGGTTCCATCCCATCAGTGGGCACACCTGAGGGTTATGGGAAGGAAGATTTGGCAATGGATGGATCCAACTCTTGATTCAGTTCCTGCCTGTGTGGTTTAAAACCAGTATTTAAATAAAAATTAATTAATTAATAAAATAATAGTAATAAATAACTTCCTTAAAAAAAAAAAAACAAGCCAGTTATTTAACTTCTCTAAGCTTTAGGTTCTTCATCAGTAAAATGGGACCAACACACAGCCTAGGAGTGGTGACAGTTAAATGAGATCATCTGTCCAAAGCACTTTGCCCAGCTCCTGGCCTATGGTAAGCCCAGAGTAAGCAATAGCTGTTCGTGTTATTAGTTTGATGATGACAATAACAATGTTACTGAAGGTGAACCAGAGAGTAAGAGGTGAAACTGCATCATAGGTCAGGATCTTCATAGGAAACAGAATCCACCCCAGATGGTTTAAATGAACAGACTTTAATAAAGAGACACAGATATGGGCAGGTGATGGTAGCCAACCAGGATGGTGAGACACCCAGGGTCTGTCTGCAGCAGGAAACTGGGACACCCCTGGGCCGGGACAGGTGAGGGAAGGGAAGGATGTTTGCAGAGCCAGTAAGAGCTGGAGGCCTAGAAGAGGGGCCACCTGGTGGGAGATGAAGTGGATGAAGCAGTAATCTCTCCTCTCTCCTACACCCTCCTGCCCCCACCTCCTTCAGGAGCCTCCCTTCGGTGAACCCACTGAACAACATATGCAGAGGCTCAGATTGAGGATGTCTGAGAAATGGCAGGCAGCTCCCTGGGACAGAAATAGAGTGTGGATCTGGGAGAGAGGCGAGTTGTTCTGCAGGCTGGGAGAGGAAGTGGAGGGAGAGTTGGGAAGGGTTAGGTAATGGATTTAAGGGCAGTGGGGAACCACTGGTCAGTGGGGTAGGCAGGGACTGACATGTTTAAACATACATGTGCCAGTGCTTCTGTCCCCCAACCCATGGATGGGGGTCACAGGACCTGAGCTGAGCACCCTTCCCCAGCATGCCTTCCTCCTCCTGCCAGGTCTCAGCACCAACTGTGCTGCAGACCTTTGCTCCGGAGCTTTTGTCCACTGCCACGTCCTACATCCCAACCCCTTCTTTCTCTCGCTTATAAAGGCCACGTTGAGTGTGGACCATAACTGACCCCCTGCCCTGTTCAAAAACAGTAACCATTTACTGAATTACTTTATTAAACCTAAAACAGGAAAAAAAATCTAAGGAAATGGGAGTAAGGCGGCCATTCTCCCTGCCTCTGCTGTGTGATGGGGAAGCCGAGTTTCACGGCTGTGTTCTTCATAATTTGTTGTTTCAGAATCTTTGCCTGGAAGCCAGTGTCTTCGGTCAACAGGCACACACTGATAAGACAGTCATCCAATTTAACCGCCTCCAGTGTGCCTCAGCATTAGGAACATATGTTTCTGAGGGGCTGTTCCTTCTCCGGTTATAACTGACACCTAGCTGGAGACTTCTGAAGTGTGCCTTTTAAAAATAAAATGTGGGGTTTTTTTTCCTGATGATAATAACGCCTAACACACATTCAGCACCGATTATATATGAGGGGGCCATATGTTCCAGGGACATGTGTTAATCCATTTAATCCTCAGAACAACCCCAAGAGGTTGGTACAATTTTACAGATGAGGAAACTGAAGCACAGAGTGGTTAAGTAACTTGTCCTAGGTCACACAGCTGCTAAGTGGGGGGGGGGGGGAATACCTCAAACTCGGGCTGTCTTTAAAATTTTTTAGGAACGCATCTAAGCAATGCATTTAATTCCATCGTAGATGCATCTAATACATATTTACCTAAATTTAACTACCAATATTTTATATTAAGATTGGTAAGAAGAAACGAAGTTTATTCATTTGTTTACCCAGCCGACACTTCATGTGTTCTATGAATGCCAGGTCTGCCCTCAAGGAGAGAGGCAGACATCTAGGTGGGTATTCTGTGCTGGAGCATGCACAAAGGTGCAGAGATTACAGAATTAATGTCCAGCTTCCCACCCATCACACACCCTGGCAACACCCAGACGTCTGGGGCAGGCTTAGTAGCTTCCTCAGGTGCTGATGGTGCCACTGATGAGAAGGCGAGCCTGGAGGTGGAGGAGTTCTCTCTCTGCATGGCAGTCAGAGCTAGCCCAGCTGGAAGGACACTTCTGTGTAGTGAGAGGGGGAGGAAGGGGAGGAAGGGGGACATAACAAGAGGAAAAACTCAGGTTTTAGAGCCAAGCAGACCTGGATTTAGGTTCTGCCTTTATTACCACCTTGTGACCTTGAAGGAGGTTCGGAACCTCAGTTTTCTTTACAGTCAGATGGGGATTGGTTGGCCAGTTAATTAAACCACTGTGTCAGCTGTGCCAGGATTCACTCTAGGGGCTATAGAGCATGAGAGCAAAACAGGTAAAGCCCCTGCTTGCACGGAGCTTATGTATTAGTGGAAGAAAACAAACGTTAAGCAAGTAATTAATGATCTGGTGGTGATAGTGTGGACTGATTGAAGGACCTTGGCTCATTTGACTTAATGAGATACTATGTGCTTACCCCAGTGACCGAGTAGGGTCATTCATTGTACAAATTCTTAAGGAGCCACTGTTCGGTGTAAGGCCCTGCAGCAGCGGAGCACCTGATGGGAACAAGCACGTGATTCCTGTCTGGGTTAGGAAAACCAGTGTGCTCTAGCCTTCCCTAGCTTTCCTGACAGGGACCCCTGGAAGGCCACGTGGAAAGGCGGCGGAGCAGGGGCAGGGTTCATCCTTACAGGCTCTGGGTGCAAGGCCCCCGGTGCCCCTATGGCCGCGTGGCCTTGGAGTGGTGCCCTCATCTCTGCGCGCCGTGGCCCTTCTCCGCAGCCCTGCAGGGTGAATCCAAGTCCATGCACTGGGCGACTGTCTTTGCCTCGCGAGGCCCAAGCTCACGCCCTTTCTCTGGTTTCCCAGCTCCAGACCGCTCAGCCCTGAGTGCGGCGAGGACCCTGTTCGTGGATGTGGAGGAGTGCGGGCCGGAGGCCATGGACGTGAAGGAGAGGAAGCCATACCGCTCGCTGACCCGGCGCCGCGACGCCGAGCGCCGCTACACCAGCTCGTCCGCGGACAGCGAGGAGGGCAAGGCCCCGCAGAAGTCCTACAGCTCCAGCGAGACCCTGAAGGCCTACGACCAGGACGCCCGGCTCGCTTACGGCAGCCGCATCAAGGACATGGTGCCACAGGAGGCCGAGGAGTTCTGCCGCACAGGTGGGTAGGTGCGCGCGCGGGCGTGGCGCTGGGCGTGGCGCTGGGCGCAGGCGCGGCGCTGGGCGTGGGCGCAGGCGCAGACGCAGGCTCGGGACGCAGCAAGGCGAGCGAGGGCGCCCTGTCAACACCAAGTCTGCTATCTTGGCACGGGTATCTAGCCAAAGCCAGCCCTGCAGTTCATTTTTATTTCCTCCATTTCCATGCTCGCCACTTCGTGGGCATAATGAGACGGTTAGGAGCTGGGTCCCTGTCCTGTCAGACTGCCTGGGGTGGAGTTCAGAGCCCCGGGTCCTCCTCTAAGCCTCCGCTCACCTGCTAGGTGAGCAGGACTGGGCTCCTTACAGCGCGGAGGACTAATAAGATGAGATGTGTAAGTGGTAAGTTTAATAACACCGAGTAAGTACTGAATACGTCTTAGTTATTTGTTCATATATTTATTCATTCAACAAACATATCTTAGCAACTTTTTGTGTCAAGCTTCGCCCTGACCTTGACAGGAAGCTGTTTCTGACATCGACTGAAAAACTTAGTAATTTTGGGATTATCCTGGCACCTGACTGCCCACTCCTTCATTTCCTACACACAATCGTCACTAAAACCTATCCATCCTACTCCAGATTACCTTTCAAATTCGTCTCTCTGCTCTGTTCCCTCTGCCCCTGTTCTGGTTCACCAGGTCTTTGGACAGGTTAACCAGAGCCCCTCTTCCCAGTGCTGCCCCCTATGAACTAGTCTCTGCACTGCAGCTGGAGTGAAGTTGGAAATGACTCCATGGCACTTAAACTGAGCTCCTTAACCTGGCTTAGTAGGGCTTTCCCCATATTCATTTGTCTTTGTGGACTATTTTATCTCGTCTCTCCTCACCACTCACGCTCTAGATCCACTGGACTGCTCATTATTTCCATACCTGCCCTGATGTACGTTCACTACCCTGGTGCCTCTGTGATTCCTGTTTTTCTGCCTGCAGAGCTTTGAGCCTCACTGGTTGCCTGGTGGGCCCCGATCAATCCCGGAGTGTTTGTGCAGCCCTTTCTGATTCTGCCCTTGCCACTCCTCTGCTTTTGGCAGGGTTAGCCAGGCACATCGCTGTGCGATTTACATACGTTTTGACTTTGTTATTTAATCCTTACAACAACACCAAGCTGGATCATTTGCCCAAGATCACAGAGTAAGAAGAGCTGGGCGCACGTGCACACACACACACGCACACGCAGTCTGACAGCCTGCAGTGGCCTCCCCCACAGGCCTGGGTCCACGTGAAAGCTGACTTGCTGGCAAGGCTGCCTTTCGGGCTGCAGAGATGAGGGGTCTGCCACGCTCTCCCAGCTTGTGGGTGAGAGCTCAGACTCTGGCATCAGACAGACCTGGATCTGAATTCTGGCTCTGCCACTGTTACTACTCTCAGCTTCTTCCCCTGGGCAATGGGATAGCTGTGATACCTCCTAATAGGAGGGTGGTCAGAATTAATAAGGACTGAAAATAAAGCACTTGACACAGTACCTGGTGCAGAGCAGATGCTTCATAAATGCTGCCTACTACTAATTGTCATCTCTGCATCTCAATGAGGGGAAGGGACAGAATGGTATCAAAGCTTTTATCCAGCTCTGTCCTGCCCATAGATAGAGCTCAGTGAGCCCTGCCAGGTCCAGCTTGGCCTGGATGCCACCCTAGCGCATGAGGATGCAGAAGGAGGGAGCCCCTTCTCATCTTCGTAAATAACAAACAAGAAGCATTCTCATCTCACAAACAGGTGTGAGCCTTGCAGTGTATGAAGTACTCACTCTCTCCTGTTACCCCCCTGGATCCTCAAAAATCCTGAGGGTAGCAAGTCATAGATTATCAACCCATTTTAAAAACAAGAAAACAGCCCAGGTGATGTCACCAGCCCCAGATTGCACAGCTGGTGAGTGAGGTGGGATGTCATCCTGTATCCCAGGCCCCTCAGGGAGGAGGCCAGAAGGACTTGAAGCAAACAGGAGGATGTCTCGTGTTTGGTGAAATAACTCTAAACTCACACATCAGAGGGGCCGGCTGGCTCAATGGGATTGCTGAGCCCAGAGGCAGCCCTCATCTTGCATTTCTCCATCCTGGAGAAGCTCACTCATATTGACACTGAGTCTGGCCACTTAAAAGGGTATGCAGGGCAAGCCACATGGACATCAATGCAGCCAGGGCTGTTTATTGCAAACAAATTTGATTTTTCACTTAATACAGCAGTCATTCTTCACAATGTGTGACTGACCTCCCTTGAGAGGGTTGGCACCACAGAGCAGGCATGTGGGATGGGGGTGGCGAAGCCAGGAGGTGCACAGGACAGGGGTGCGGAGAGATCAGAGGGAGGCAAACCAGGCACGTAGAAAGTGGGGTGCGCAGTGGGGGTGGGAAGCAGACTGAGAGAATTTAGGCTCCAATTTGGATTCTCTTCTACTGAGAAGTAAAGCAAAAGAGGAGGGCAGACTGGACTGTGGCACATAGGGCTGACATTCAAAACATTTAACATCTGGTCTGACCCAGACCCTGGCCAGTCTGAATGGCTTGCTGGCCACTGAACAGCCCAGAGGTCCCTACTGTGCCGAGCCTGCTGACATTAGCCCTTTAGTAGCTGCTTCATGGGCGGTGATCTCATCAGGGCTGTGGGGGGATTGTCGGGAAGGGGCTGGAGCACTGGGTGTGAGAAGGCTGGGCGTCGGTTATTTAGCAGGCAATATGGGGCTATTCAATGACCTGCTGGCAAGTGCCGTGCCCCCACCCCGGCTGGAGGGGGAGACCCAAGCTCTCCATTCAATTTAGCAAACATTTATTGGGCCCTTCTAAGTACCAGGTTTTGTTCTAGGCACAGGATTTAGGAATGAGCAAGGCATGGTCCCTGGCCCTGTTGAGGACATCGTCAGGGAAGGAGTCAGGCCCTTCATTCTGGGCCGGATGACGGGCCACAGACCCTCAGGGGAGTTCAGAGGAAGAGCAGTGATTTCTGCACAGGGTGTAGATTTAGGGGAGACTTCTCAGAGGAGGTGCCATCTGAGTGGCCCTTCCTCAAAGGGTGCAGAAGGTTTGGGCTGGAAGGGCAGGGGCAGAAGGGGCCATCCAGGCAGAGAAAGGCACAGTGACCTCAAAAGACAGCAGTGAGACCTGGGGTGAGGGCCAGGCCCCTCAGGTCCTAGAGTAAGTAGGAGGAACATTCTGGAGCTCCCTCCTCTGCACCCTAACCAAGCTCACCTTTGTTTCCTCCCAGGAGCCAACTTTACCCTGCGTGAGCTGGGGCTGGGGGAGGTGACACCCCCGCATGGGACCCTGTACCGCACAGACATCGGCCTCCCCCACTGCGGCTACTCCTTGGGGGCCAGCTCTGATGCCGACATGGAGGCTGACACCGTGCTGTCCCCTGAGCACCCTGTGCGACTGTGGGGCCGGAGCACACGATCGGGCCGCAGCTCCTGCCTGTCCAGCCGGGCCAACTCCAACCTCACGCTCACCGACACCGAGCACGAGAACACTGAGACCGGTGAGTGGGCCGCCGGGCCTGTGCCGGGCGCCTGGGTTGCAGGACCGGAGTTCTAATTACAGCCTTGATTTTATGCTCCGTTGCTTGAGGCTCTGGTGACGTTGGTGACAATTGCTTTGCTCTCAGTGGTCAAAAGTCAGAGCCTCTTACACAGTCACCTGAAATACCCACCAACTGGGTCTCTGCTCTCTTTCCTGGTTATGCAGGTGCCTAAAGGGTGGGGTGACCGCATACACGGTGCCTGTGTGTGAGGGAGCAGAGGGGCCAGGCGACGCTGCTGACGTGTCCCCCACAGCTCCTCGGCAAAGGCATGAGCCGCAGGGATCCCACTGCGTCCTTCGCATGAGGCCCCAGCCCCCAGGTGCCCAGCAGTCCTGGGCACTCGCCACGAACGCTGCCCCACCTCTGCTGATCCGAGGATGGCTTGAAAACAAAAACTGTCGTTTGGGGGTGCTAACTTGAAATGTGAGGTTTCGCTTGAGCTCTCCCATGCTGCAGGCCTGGGGAAGTGCTAGCTATTCTAGACTCCTTATTCTGCTCTCCTCTCTGCAGCGCATCTTCCAAGGCCTCCTTTCTCTGCTGGAGGAAAGGGAGTCCGGTTTCAGGGTGTTTCTCCTTACCCTCGGGCCTGGGGGGTCTGAGCTAGGACCCCTGAGAAGGGAGCCTCCCCTTCTCTCGGAGCAGCAGGTCCTGGACCCAGGCTTGGCAGTGTTAGCCTCCCCTGACTCCAAACCAGCCCCCGGAAAGGGCCAATGAGTTCAGCACCCGAAGGAGCTCCCCATCTCTGCAGTGGGGAGCCATTCACACGGCCTCACCCGCCTTCCCTCCAAGGCCCCAGCGGGCCAGCAGTCCCTCCTCGCCCCCATCAGCAGACCCTGAGCCGGAGCACCCAGCGTGCTGTGTGAGGCCCGTGCAGAGAAGGTGGTGTCTGGTGAGGACACAGACGCCTCTTTCCATCGCTGACCTGGGGTATGGACCAGATAAGCCGGACCCTTGCTCTAGACCGACCTCAGTTTCCCCATCTATAGAATAAGTGGTTTCAATGAAATCTGCATTTACTGTACTCCGAGAATATTAATAGTTCTTAGATGGGGGAGAAAAGTTATTCTGTGGTCACATAATGTAGGAAGCACTGAGTTAAAGGAACTTAAATCAGTTTGTTTGTGCAGGACTTTTCAGAGCTTTTGGGGAACAACTGAGCTGAATGATCTGCAGGCCCGTTCATATCTAGGGTTCTGTAATCCTAAGGGCTCACATTAAGGTGAAGGCTCACAAGAGGAAAAGGATAATGACATTAATGGCTCATAGCCGCTGCTGTTATCAGACCCCAAGCACAGCGCTAGACGCTTTAGCTGTATGATCTCATATGCTCCCCTTCAGCCCTTTGAGGCAGGTGTTGTCCCCCCTACACAACACGGAGGCTGCAGTGCCGAGGGGTTCCGCAGCCTGCCTCGGTCACACAGCAAGACGGGACTTGAACTGGGGCCTGATTTCAGTGTGACTGAAATCTTTGCCCTTGCAGCCCGGGTTACAGTGAATCTCCTCTGCTGCTGAACACTTAGGTTGTTTGTTGTGTTGAAGACTTCTTGCCCTGGTGACAAATGATCGCTTGTTCCCTGAAGTGGGGACAGGGTGAGGTGCGCTCCGCCCACGTTACTGTGTATCCCCTGGGAGCCGACTCACTGCCCACCGAGCCTCTGTTGGAGGAGAATGACACAGTCACTGCCGGAAGAGCCTCGGCCTTCGCTAGTGGGAACGGAGACGGCTGCCTGCTCCCGGCCGGGCCAGCCTCTCCGGATTATCCATGTCTGCCCTGGCCACCCCCCTCCAAGCCTGGCTGTACTCAGGGAAGACGGGCAGGCAAAGGAGGTGGGCATGGGAATCCAACAAAGAGCCCCTGGCCTTCCAGGCCTGGGCTCCCCAAACCCAGACACCCCACCGGTGCCCACACACTTGTCCACTTTCTCCCAGCTGGGAAGTCAGATGAACAACTGTGTTATTCTCGGGTCTAAATAATGAGTGACTCAGGCTGACAGTGAGTGAGCCACAGGCAGGGCCGCCTGTGGCCATTGGTGAGGCTGACGGTGCCCTTGCTCGCACCTTGTCTCCTCAGCGACCGCTGAGAGGGCTCCGAGAGGTGACGGGCACATGGGCCCCGGCCGGGGGAGCTTCTCCAGGCCTGGTGCTTTCTCTTCCTTTCTTCTCCCTGTCCCCACTCCAGTCCTCCTCCCTTCATCCTTCTCTCTTGCTCTCATATTCACCCTGCTGTGATGAGAACCCAGATCCTACCCTCAGACCAGGGCTCGATGCCTCAGGATGGGTGACGCAGCACATCCTCGTGTGACCACTTGTCAGGAGTAGGGGGGGCATGCTGAGGCCACTGTTGTCAAGCCGCTGCCCACGCGTGATTGGTTGCCTCGAATGCCCGTCACCACATGGTGGTGTTTCCATCTCCCAGGTGGGAGAACTGAGGCTCCAGAAAGGTCAGCTGACCCGCCGGAGAGTCTCGAGTCAGCAGGGCCTGGGTTTGAACCCAGATCTGTCTGATGCTGCAGCCTGAGCCCTTTGCCCAGCTCCATGGGAATCCGCGAGAGCGTTGGACTCTCACCTGAGGTCAGTCATCAAAAATGTGTGACCAGGGTCTCAGAGCTCCTTACCCGATGCCAGTGCACAACAGTCCCCAGCCACTTCCAGCCACAGGAACCCGGCTGCACCGCCACCCGGCCCGGCCTTGCGTTAGTCAATAGTAATCGGCCACGGTATTGATAGCGGTGGCGGCTTTGGCCCGGTCACGGTGAGGCTGCCATCCATAAGAACTGTTATGGGGTCCATTAAAGCCAGTGTCTGCCCCTGCAGGTTAATGTCAGCAGCTTTTATGTCACTGCTTAGTATCCAAAATAAATACAGAATTGACTGGGTAATGCAAACACAAATCTTCCTCTTCAGGGCCGCCAGGCAGGACCAGCCCCGGCCTCTCCTGCCGAGTGGGGCTGGCATCATGCCAGGCACACAGTTGGCATTCAATAAAGTTTTCTAGGAAGAGAAGGTGGCATTGTGAGCTCCACCTCCACCCACAGGCTCAGGCTGATACCGTGTCTCTGTGTAGGTTCAGCCTTGAGTGTGCCAGGCAGTATTCTAGGGGGGAGGATGTGGTGACAGCCATGTGGCCCCGTCTTTAGTGGAGAGGTAGCAGGCAGTGTCACCAAGGGGATAGAACAGTGGTTCCGGAGCTAGTGAGGACACCTGGTCTCAACTCCTAGCTGTGCCGTGTCCCAGCTCCGAAACCCTGGGCGAGTCACCTCCCCGCCCTGAGTCAGTTTCCTAAAACAATATGCTAGTGGTTCCCAAGGGCCGGGAGACGGGAGAGTGGGGAGTTAGTGTTCAATGGGCGCAGAGTTTCAGTTTGGGACGATGGAAACGTTCTGGAGACGAGCTGGTGGCGACGGTTGTACAGCAGTGTGAAGGCGCTGAATGGCGCTGAATGGCACTTACAAATGCTTGAAAGGGTTACGGGTGCTTCACCACAGTAACAACAACAGAATCAGCAGGTCATCTTTCTCCCTTGAAGCGTTGCTGTGAGCCTGAGTGAGCTACCTGGGTGAGATGTCTGGTCTGGACTTTAATTCATGTTAGCTATGAATATTAACTTTTTAAAGAGCAGTAGGATGAAGTCACAGAGGCCATTTGTTTTTGCTTTGAGAGTGTGAAGGCTCGTTCCTTCATCGCGATCATGGGTGCGCCACGGCTGGAAGGCCACGTAGGACTCTGCCGAGCATAGCGGGTCTGAGAGGCGTCCCCGGTAGAGGTGACTCCACAAGCCAGGGCTTGGAGGTGTGAGGAGGCATGGTGGGGCTGGGGACAGTGAGGAATTACTCAGGCTTTTATCCCAGGGGCAAACCGAGAAATTCACTTAGAAAGGAAACAATGAAACAGAATCCCAGTTACCCCCCAATTATCAAGCAACCTGGTGTCAAAAGGGAAATCACTGGTTAACCTAATTAGGCAGCCAAATTGTCTATTCGGAGTCAGAAGATTAGGTGAGCATCTCTAAAGCACAGTGGAAAAAAACAACAACTCATTACCAAGTTAACTCAATGTATCCTCTACCCTCCCTGGCTCCATGCTCAAGAGACTTGGTTTTTAAAATCTGTGGGAAGATCTATCATTAATTCCCTCAGTGTCCAGAGCACTGCTGCTCCCCAGCCATTGTCCTTCATCTGGGGTAGGAAGCTGGGTTCCCTCAGTGAGGGTTGCGATTGAATCCCCACATTTGACCTGGCTGCTTTGTGGGCCCCCCACACTCCCTCCCGGGAATGCATAGGTGCCCAACAGAATTATCTCCCACTGGACAGTGTGATCGTGCAATAAGGGCTGTAAGGCTCCAAATTCCAAAAAGGACTGGGAAGGATCTCATAGAGTCAGAGCCCCTGAGAATCTGGGAGCTAGAAGTCAGCTGGGAGACATTGACGCTTAACCTTTTCCCATTTTCTAGCCAAGGAAACTGAGATCCAGAGAAATGAGGTGGCTTGCTGATGATTGCCCGACTAGTAGATGGCAGAGCCAGGGTGGAGGCCAGATCTGCCTCAGTCCAGTGCCCATTATCTTTATTGACCACTGCACTCTATAGTTTGTTCTGTAAAAACTGGTTTTGATTAGCTTAATGCATCATACACACACACACACACACGCGCACACACACACACAAATGATCTGAGATGATTCTAGCTGTTTCCAGAACATAAACTTTTGTCAGTGTTAGGAAGTTCCAGAAAACAAAACTGAATCCTGTGAGAGCTGATCAGGAGCTAGAGGTCATGCCAGGCCACTCTCACACTGTGATGGTCTAGAGAAAGGACATTTGATTATAGAGTTTTAAGAGGAAAATTCCAGCCAGGAGGTATCTGAGAAGGTTTCGTGGAAGAAGTGCGGGTCCCTGGGCTTTGAGGCCTGGGAAGGACTTTAACAGGTGAAGAGGAGGGAAAAGGGGGTTCTGTGTGGCA